CTTATGTAAATTATTTCCTTTTTATCTCTATCTTGTATAAAAGGAGATTACTAGATTGAATAAACATTCAGTTCAACTTGTAAGCCGGAGCTAGTCGTGTTCAGATAACACTTAACCATTACAACATGGCGCAGCCGACAGGATAATTCCGGATTATGACAAGAAAAGTATATAATTAAAATAGATTAATTCAACAGTGAGTAAAATGGAAGAGGAATCAAGCCGCCGGCAGAATTTGTCCCATACAGCAACGAGAAAAAATGGGAGACCTGGAGAGAGTCGTTTGAAATTTTTGCAATAGCGGTAAATTTAGAAAGCATGCCGCTGGTGCGTCAGCGGGCAATTTTGAAGCATATTGCTGGTGAGAAAACAGTGATGATATACAAGACATTTCACATAAGTGAAAATGATACTTACCCAAGTTTAAAGGAAATGCTTGATATGTTAACGAACCATTTTAAGCCCTTCAAAAATACGATTCAAAGGAGAAATGCATTTTTACCTGTGTACAAAAAGAAAGGCAGGGAATCATGGAATTTGTCACAGAATTAAAGCATCTGGCACAAGAATGTGAATTCGAGAATTTAACGGAAGCTCTCATAAGGGATCGTCTTATAATTGGAATACTTGACCGGGAAATGAAAAGAAAGTTGTTAGAAGATCCACAATTGACACTACCGAGGGCAATTTCGATAGCTATGATCTCCGAGTCAACATGCTCACAAGTAACATCGTTGAATGAGCAAACAATGATTGAAAAAATTGAAAAACGTAATTGGGTGAAAGGTAGAATCCGAATGGAAAATGCAGAAGCAGGACCAAGGGTTATAAACCCGAGAAAAGAACGAATAATCGAACCATGTAAGTGGTGTGGACAACGACACAATTATGGAAAGTGCCCAGCGTATGGGAAGAAGTGTAATGCATGCGGGAAAACCAATCATTTCGCAGTAGTTTGCCGAACAAAACGTATCAGAAATCTCTTAGCGGAAAGTGAAGCTGAAGAATCCTGTGACGATATAAATCTAAATGAAGTTGTTGTAAAGACTGTTGGGTCGGACAAGTGGTCCGCGGTGATAATCATTAATGGCAAAAAGACCACGGTAAATTTGGACACTGGCGCACAGATCAATGTGCTTCCTCATAAAGTAATAAACCAATGGCCATCAAGACCAGAAATCAGACCCACGTCATTAAAGGCGTTCGCATATGGAAATACAGATTTGCCTATCGTCGGCAAATGCAATGTGCTATGCCAATATGGTGAAAAGAAAGGAATGTTTGAATTTATCGTAGCCGATGTAGAGGCGCAGACACTTATCACGGGCGATACTTGCGAGAAGCTTGAAATATTGAGGCGAATCAATCATATAAACACGGATGAAATGAAATTGTGTACTGAAACTCAAAATCCTCGAACAATACCACGAAGTGTTTCAAGGAGTAGGATTAATCAACTCGGAATGCAAGATTTACACAAAGCCTGAATACTCGCCTGTGCAAGCCCCTCCCAGGCGCATCCCAACAAGCCTCGGAGCCGAAGTTCAGTCTGAATTGGAAAAAATGGTGAAGCAAGGAATCGTTACAAAAATATATCATGGAACAGAGTGGTCTCATCCTATGGTCGTTGTGAAAAAAAAATCTGGTCAAATCAGAATATGCCTGGATCCTCGTAAATTAAATGAGGCCCTTGTGGGAAGACACTTCCAGACTCCGGCTCCAGCTGAACTATTGCACGAGATACCCAAATCTAAGTATTATACCGTGTTAGACGTGAAATCAGCCTATTGGCATATTCCGGTTGCAAAGGAATGCAGAGATCTGTTGGTGATGACCACGCCATTTGGTAAATTCAGATATAATCGATTGCCATTTGGTTTGAAAATATCTGCACAAATTTTTGTTGAGAAAATGACGAATATCTTTAGGGATAGCTTTCAAAATATTACATATGTAGACGATTTGCTGATATATGCGGATACCATTCAAGAGCACAATAAAAAATTAAAGGGAATTCTAGAAAAAGCAAAAGAAAAAAAAAACAAATTTGATTTAACAAAGGCTCAAATTTGTCTAACGAAGGTTCGTTTCTTGGGCCATGTGATTTCACAAAATGGAATTGATCCAGAGCCAAATAAGATTGATAAATTAATTACCTTTAAAAAGCCAGAGGATAAAAGTCATTTCAAAGAATCATAAGTCTTTATAATTACTTAGGAAAATTCATTCCGAATTTAGCTGCGTCCACATCCAATATAAGAGGAATATTAAGAAAGAATGTTGTCTGGCATTGGGGCCTAAACAGGATGGGGAATTCGATCATATTAAGGAATGCGTTAGGAATGCTCCTTCATTGGCACATTTCGACAAAAGCAAGATGTTGATCTTGCAATGTGACGCCAGCAAAGATGCAATGGGAGCTGCTCTGCTACAGGAAGATCGACCTCTAGCATTCGCATCCGCGTCATTTAGCGACTCGCAGAAACAGTACTCTCAGATTGAGAAGGAGTTACTGAGTGTTTATTATGGATGCAAAAAGTTTGAATATCTATTATCAGAACACACTTTCGTTGTCCAGACGGATCACCAGCCTTTATTGCTTCTAGTCAAAAAACCGCTGAGTGATATATCTCCGCGTCTACAAAGATTAGTAATGAAGCTTATAGCATTTGACTTCAAATTGCAGTACAAACCAGGAAAATACTTGATTGTGGCTGATACCCTATCCAGGGATACTCACCCCATGGACGAACTACCAACGCCTTTTCTTGAGGACAAAAGAATAGTCAAGATGATATGTGTTAATATATCGGACGAAAAGCTGGTAACGCTGCAGAAAGATACCCGAGAGGATCCTGCTTTAGTTAAAGTAATCGATTATGTGATTGAGGGGTGGCCAATATGCAAAAAAGACGTCGATGAAGATGCCAAAGCATTTTTTCGATTTCAGACACCGTTTGTATTTATGGAATGATTTATTATGTATAGGATCGGCCATAGTGATTCCGATGACACAAAGGAATAATATGCTCAATTTGTTGCACCAATCGCACCAAGGGATATCTGCAATTCAGGGTTTGGCGCGAGAATCTTTGTTTTGGCCGGGAATGTCCATCGACATTGCTGAAAAAGTAAAAAATTGTTATATTTGTCAAAAATATCAGAAATCGAAAATACGGCAGCCGTTAAAACCTTTCCCAGTTCCAGATTATCCATGGCAGACAGTATCATTGGACATTTTTTATATTCAGAAAAAGCCCCATTTGTTAGTGGTCGACAGATATAGTGGCTACCCGGAGGTATTTGCAATAAACCCACCTACAGCGATAATGTAAAAAATAAATTGAGAGAAACATTTGCACGATTCGGGATTCCGGAAACCATGATGTCCGACAATGGACCACCGTTTCGCTCAGAAATTATGACTGACTTCTGTATAAAATGGGGTATAAAGCAGCTATTTTCAAGTCCACACCTTCATAGATCTAATGGTCTGGCCGAAAGAAACATTTAAACAATAAAAAATCAATTAATTAAATGTAGAGATGAAGGGTCCGACCCATATCTGGCTATTCTAACATATAGGAATACACCAAAGAATGACCTACCTTCACCGGCACAGCTATATTTATCGAGGAGCCTTCGATGTCAAATCCCCAGAATTACACCGCTATATAGACCTTATCAAACTAATTGGAGAAGTATAGAGAATGCCAAAAGAAAAAGACAGAGCTCAATGAAAGAACATTATGACAGAAACAGTAAAAGCTATCCCAAGGTCAATGTAGGAGAGGATGCATGGTGTCAGATGCATCCAAAAGAGACATGGACACCGGTGAAGATTTCAGCGCAGGCTAATTATCCTCAGAGCTTTGAAGTCGTAACACCATCAGGAAATAAGTTAATAAGAAATCAACAATTTATTAGGCCGAAAGATGGAGTCAACGAAAAAAGGCAGTTATCTTTAGAACCAATTCCCGGCTCCCCAGAAGCTCAACATCTGCATTACGACAGTCCAACGATGGGAGAGTCATCCACATCCCCGATACAGCGGTCAAGTGAAGAGACCAATATTAACCAGAAGGAAAACGCGACTGCATCCGCTGGGATTTCACCAGAACCATCCGGAAGGCCCCGGTTTTCAAGGTTCGGAAGAGAATTAAGAAAACCACAAAGATTTTGTTTTTAAGCAGAGGGAAGGCATGTCAACGGCCTTTTGATTTGCCTGATCTGATTATTGATGGTTATCCAAATTTGTGACAATCTTTAATTGTTGTATTGTTGTAGCAGAGGGGAAACATGTTGTGATATGTTAAATAACATATGTTACGTATTATATTTATTATCTATTATTGACACTATACAAAATCATGCCATTTGTCAATTGTTTTAAACTTATGTAAACTATTTCCTTTTTATCTCTATCTTGTATAAAAGGAGATTACTAGATTAAATAAACATTCAGTTCAATGTAAGCCGGCGCGAGTCTTGTTCAGATAACACTTAACCATTACAACACATGGATGGCCGGGTATATATGGTCCGGAGTGAGTTGGGTGTTGTAACAGTTAATGCAGTTTCTGTAGGATCTAGTCATGTCTGTGTTTATCTTCATTTAAAATACCCTTTCCACGAGTCCAGCTTCAGTATCAGTATAAGAGGATAAACGAAAAATGCAATATTACAGCGGTATGGTATATTAAACAGGCGAAACCATAGAGAGGGTTCACCACTGATGAGCCAAGCCCTTCCATTATTTTATAAAGGCTCAGTCGGCCTGCCACTGAGTAGTGCTACCAGTCTTAATGACAAAGGCAGAGGCATTCTACTTCACCCAGGAGATAAGAAAGATCATTGCAGTAAGGGAAGTAGAAAATAGATTTATTTCAAAAGAATAATACGCGTCAAAATATGGTTCATTTTTTTATAATCAATTAATCGGTAATCTTGTCAAAAAAAAAATAACTCAGTAATATGCAAATTGTAAAAAAAAAAAAAAAATCCCAAGCCGGCAATCGAACCCGGGCCTCGTGGGTGAGAGCCAGTTATCCTAGCCACTAGACCACGTGGGAGATGCAAATTAACTTTTAAGTATGTTTATATTTTAAAATATAATTCTGAAATTCTTTCCATGAAAGAGAAATACCATTATAGTCAACCTATCATAGACATACATTTAGGACTTTCGGATCAGTTTAAGATCAGGATCCTCCCTTGTTAGTTATTAGGACACTGAGGCAGGTGTTCACCACCCCAACATCCCATGAGATGGCTGAGTTTTCTTTTAATGTATGTGCTCTATCAATCATCAAGAGCTGGCATTTGCCTCAATTTATCTCCAATCCCACTTTTTCTAAAATAATTTCAATTCTGAGGAGCAGGTTTGCCATGTCCTGTTAACTTCTTGCAAACAGGATAGTATCATCCGCGTATCGAAGATTTGAGACAAGTCTACTCCCAATCAACATTCCTTCTCCATAACCTTCCGTTGCCCTTCTGATGATTCATTCTCCATATATATTGAACAGAGTTGGGGAACGTATACAGCCCTGTCTTGTCTCTTTCCTAATCTTTAATTCCTCCGAGATGATGACTTCCACCCTCACGTTATCTATTGTTAACCTATAATTGTCAAAAACAAAATAAATAAATAAAAAAACTGAGTAATAGGCAAATAAAAAAAAAAAAGTTCCCACGCCGGGAATCGAACCCGGGCCTCCTGGGTGAGAGCCAGGTATCCTAGCCACTAGACCACGTGGGAGTTACAGACAAACACTTTTAAGTCTATTTATATTTCAATAATAGTTCTGATATTTTCTCCATGAAAGAGGAATACCATTATAGTCAACCTATCATAGACACATTTTGAACTTTCGATCAGTTCAAATGGGAATTTCCTCACTATTTTGTCTTACGTTATTTCAACAATTAAATGATACTTTAAAAATTACGTTATTTGATTTGAATGAGACCTTAACAAATACGTTATTTCAGAAATTTAAAATTTAACAATAACGTTATACAGAGAAATAACAGTAATAGTAACAATAATCAGAGATGTTACTTACAATGTATCAAATAGGGGTAGAGAAGAAAGAAGGGGTTGGCATAAACTTATATGTAAGCAATCGAGAAAAAAAGCAGTTATTTTTCTTAAAAAAAAAAAAAAAAAAAACAATAATTATAATTATTTATATATTAATTATCGGCATTGACAGTAATCTAGATTAGTACAAGGGAAAAAGAATATATACAACAAGGTATTATATATAATTTTAAGGCATCTTTATAATTTTATACATTAATGGATCAAGGGTAGTAGATTTTATACACTTGTATAAAGTTGAAGTATAAAGTTTTACGGGTTAGATATGAAATATATTAATGAGCGTCACCCACGCTTCTATTATAATAGTTATAATAATTATAATAATTAGGAAGAGAGATTAAGAGGAACGTGGTGAGTTTCTCACCACGTTCCTCTTAATCTCTCTTTTTACATTCCAAACGTGGCTATATCATGTCTAGAATTATAATAATTATTAATAAAATAAAAGGATTTAAAAGCGCGAATGTTTCTTTTATACATAAAACGAACTTCTACTGTCCTTACTGCGATGAAAAAATATATTGGGAGGGCTTGGCTCATCAGTGGTGAACCCTCCCAGCGGTTTCGCCAATTTTAGCCAAGCCCTCCCAATATATTTTTTCATCGCAGTAAGGACAGTAGAAGTTCGTTTTATGTATAAAAGAAACATTCGCGCTTTTAAATCCTTTTATTTTATATATATAGATGGCGCGTTATTGATTTGTGATAATTATTAATGATTAAAAATCCAATATTCCCTTATAAAAAAGTCTTCTTTCAGATAATTTCGAAATAGAAGCGTTTTGTAAAACTTATATATATTGTAGAAAATCTTGTAATACATTTTTATGCTCGTATTTATTTATTTATTTCATCTCAATTTGCAGGTGTTACATTCGAGCACAGCTCGCGAGTCACCTTGTCCAGATTATTTACACATGGCGAGTTGTAGTGCTGGAGTGGCCCCCCGAACCTTACAGGAGGGCAGTTGTTGGGTTTTATGCTCGTATATAAATTTCTCTCTCTTTATACATATGTATATTTCTATTCACGATGACATTGCAATTTACTTTGGTCAAAAACATTTTACGACTTATTTACATATTATTGCCACGTGGAAAATTAGGGAAGACAAGTTTCGGAATGACACAGCAATTTATTTAAAGCAAGAACAAACTATGAATGATAAACAAAAAATAAGCAAATGAGGGAAGTTTACAGAGTAGCAAAATATAAACATAAAAAATGATACTCTGTTAATAAAATAATAAATACACTTTGATACATAGCTCCTTCCCTATGAGAGCTGTGACCCACAGCTTGAAATTATTGTAGTTACTGACATGGATCTAATATGCTTCTGCCAATGATTCCAAAGAAGTCTTGGACTCTGTCCCTGGTACCTTTGCGTCTTTTTTTTTTTTTTTTTTGCGGCGTGAAGAGCAGCTTTGCGTCGTATCGTCTATAGGGACATCGTCATCTTTGAGGGAAGTCTTGGCTTTGACACGGCGGTGGAATCCCGGAGCCAGTCTCGGGAAATGTAGATCACAGAACCCATGGCTTCAAAGTCTTCTCGACGATTTTCAGTTTGTCTTCCCTAATTTACCCAGCATCTCCACAAAATACCACGCGGAAAATTAAGGAAGGCAAACTTCAGAATGACACAGCAATTTATTTAAGGCAAGAACAAACTATGAAGGATAAACAAAAGATACAAGCAAATGAAGAAAGTTTACAGAGTATCAAAATATAAACATAAAAATGATACTTTGTTAATAAAATAATAAATAATTTGGTACAATATAGAGAGTGTTATTGAAAGAAAGATGCCGAGTAACAAAAAATGTAGAAAAATTAATCTGTTAATAAATTAAATTTTCTACTACAATATAATGTTTCATAGTTGATTTATGTGTTGTTATTGAAGGTAGATTATTATGCAAAGTCTCAATTCAAACTAAACAACGGAAAGTGAGCAAAATCGATTTTAAGATTTAACCCATCATACAGACAGAGCAGTTAAAAAGTATGTAATGAATAAATAAATGGATGAATAATCAATCCATTGCGCGCCATCTGTTGTGAGAAATTAAAAATATTTTGATGCGTATTTTTCTTTTTAAAATGGTGGTGTCTTTTCCATGGAACAGATCAGATCGGTCCATGCACCCTGATCACAATACCGGCCAACTGAGGTGGTGGTGGTGTCTTGTCCATGGAGCAGATCAGATCGGTCCATGCACCCTGATCACAATACCGGCCAACTGAGGTGGTGGTGGTGTCTAGTCCATGGAGCAGATCAGATCGGTCCGTGCACCCTGATCACAATACCGGCCAACTGAGGTGGTGGTGTCTTGTCCATGGAGCGGATCAGATCGGTCCGTGCACCCTGATCACAATACCGGCCAACTGAGGTGGTGGTGTCTTGTCCATGGAGCAGATCATACGTGTCCATGCACCCTGATCACAATACCGGCAAACTGAGGTGGTGGTGGGGGGGGGTCTTGTCCATGGAACATATCAGATCGGTCCATGCACCCTGATCACAATACCGGCCAACTGAGTTGGTGGTGTCTTATACATGGAACAGATCATATCGGTCCATGCACCCTGATCACAATACCGGCCAACTGAGGAGGTGTGGCTTTTCCATGGAACAGATCAGATCGGTCCATGCACCCTGATCACAATACCGGCCAACTGAGGTGGTGGTGTCTTGTCCATGGAGCTGATCAGATTGATCCATGCACCCTGATCACAATACCGGCCAACTGAGGTGGTGGTGTCTTGTCCATGGAGCAGATCAGATTAGTCCATGCACCCTGATCACAATATCGGCCAACTGAGGTGGTGGTGTCTTGTCCATGGAGCAGATCAGATCGGTCCGTGCACCCTGATCACTATATCGGCCAACTGAGGTGGTGATGTCTTGTCAATGGAGCAGATCAGATCGGTCCGTGCACCCTGATCACAATACCGGCCAACTGAGGTGGTGGTGTCTTGTCCATGGAGCAGATCATATCGGTCCATGCACCCTGATCACAATACCGGCCAACTGAGGAGGTGTGGCTTTTCCATGGAACAGATCAGATCGGTCCATGCACCCTGATCACAATACCGGCCAACTGAGGTGGTGGTGTCTTTTCCATGGAGCAGATCAGATCGGTCCATGCACCCTGATCACAATACCGGCCAACTGAGGTGGTGGTGTCTTTTCCATGGAACAGATCAGATCGGTCCATGCACCCTGATCACAATACCGGCCAACTGAGGTGGTGGTGTCTTGTCCATGGAACAGATCAGATCGGTCCATGCACCCTGATCACAATACCGGCCAACTGAGGTGGTGGTGTCTTGTCCATGGAGCTGATCAGATTGATCCATGCACCCTGATCACAATACCGGCCAACTGAGGTGGTGGTGTCTTGTCCATGGAGCAGATCAGATTAGTCCATGCACCCTGATCACAATATCGGCCAACTGAGGTGGTGGTGTCTTGTCCATGGAGCAGATCAGATCGGTCCGTGCACCCTGATCACTATATCGGCCAACTGAGGTGGTGATGTCTTGTCAATGGAGCAGATCAGATCGGTCCGTGCACCCTGATCACAATACCGGCCAACTGAGGTGGTGGTGTCTTGTCCATGGAGCAGATCAGATCGGTCCGTGCACCCTGATCACAATACCGGCCAACTGAGGTGGTGGTGTCTTGTCCATGGAGCAGATCAGATCGGTCCGTGCACCCTGATCACAATACCGGCCAACTGAGGTGGTTATGTCTTGTCAATGGAGCAGATCAGATCGGTCCGTGCACCCTGATCACAATACCGGCCAACTGAGGTGGTGGTGTCTTGTCCATGGAGCAGATCAGATCGGTCCGTGCACCCTGATCACTATATCGGCCAACTGAGGTGGTGATGTCTTGTCAATGGAGCAGATCAGATCGGTCCGTGCACCCTGATCACAATACCGGCAAACTGAGGT